TCTAATATACTATGAATATGATTAGGAGTAAATAAACAAAATAGTTTAGAAAACATCAAAAAGCGTCCAGAAAACATTAATATCGCTAAGGAAAAGTCAAAAACGTCCAGAGAATTTCACACGAAAAATTCGTCAGTTACTTTCAAGAAAATATGTTATGTTTACGAGTATGTTTGACACCACAAAGCATACGTTCTGGCTATGTATTCTCTTTGCATTGTCTTTTTACTCTTATAATCATGCATTTATCTATTTCAGTAAATAGTCCTTCATACGCCCACTCGAAGAATTCGGGTAAATCATCATCTATTATAATCATTTCAAATTTGGCGTTAGGTATGCCGGTTAGCCTCTTTATCTGTGACGGAACCATAATCATCAACCATTCTACCTTTTCTGTAACACCTAATTTCTTTCTTTATTTTTCAATAAAACCATATAAAATATAGTTTCAAATCAAAATTGATATTACTATCTATGTACTCGTATACACACTTGAAAGCTATATACAGGGTGTCCCTCGACTTCCTCTTTTCCTCTCGGGAATGTATAGATGGGGTCAAAATATCACCAGTACTTCATATAATTTTTGTTCCTTCAATCCTTCGTTACCAAGTTACGGGCCCTCAAAGTTACATGAAAAAGATTATTCTTTGATATTTTCAAGTGAATATTCAAAATCAACCAAATTTAATTTTGGTGGTTGACTAAACAAATGGATTGCTTTGATGAACTTTCAAGCAGGAGTCAGTTGTTTTGCTACAAAGTCAGGAACGGACTACCCCCGATGGTCCACACTTCAAAACTTTGGAATGAAAGATATTTTTCAATAAAATCAGATTACTTAGACAATGTTCTAAATAAAAGTACTCGTGTTGAAAATCGATTGGAACAACGATTTTTTATAAAAATGCACTTTTGTTCGACGACATCCAACCTGAGATATCTACCATTATTTGAAATGAAGAATTTTCACAGCAGAAATACTTATATTAACGTTAATGCAACACCATGACAGGGATAATACAAATGAAATATCAAGTTCTGTAGATTCGTGGTGTTTTTGTATTAACAAGCTACGCGAATATTGATTTCTGTCCATATTTTGTATTTACGTGTGAAATAATCACGTTTCGTGTTGTTATCTGAATCTCATGAAACTCAACATTTGAATGTTTCAAATTCTTATTCACAACTGAAATGTTGGGGAGTTTCAATGATAATTCAATTTGATGGGAGAAAATCTTCAACCCAATAAATTTATCTGAAAAAACGCACATTTAGCTATACTAATAAAGAGAAAACTAATAAACTACAAAAACGGCGGCACATGAATAGGTGAAAAATATCCGGNAAAAAAAAAAAAAAAACAGAAAATTCGCTGCCGCTCATTTTATTGAGGAAATCAACAAGAGTAATATAAATGGCAACACAATCAACTAAAGTGTTCAAAATGACCTTCATCTAGTTTCATACAATAATACAGTCTACATTCGAAAGTGTTCCTTACATTATTGATGTCCGGAGTCAGAAATCGGCATTCCCGAACAATTCTCTGTCGCAGGTCTTCTAGATTTGTAGAATTCATTTAATTAGTAGTAAACATTTTGAAATGGACGACACTGTTAGTTTTTTCAACACTGATAGTTTTTTTTGAATCTAGTTGTCGCAGAACAAAAAGTAGGTAGTTGGCCACTGTCATTTCTTCACGAATTGTTATTCAGTCATCCTTGTTCACTGTGTTCCAACATGGATTATTCTACTGAGGAAAGAATAGAAATTGTTGCAAACTATTATCGAAATAATGAATGTGCTAAAGCTGCTGCAAGAATTTATAATTCGAATCATCCAGACCACAACTTGAACCATCAATACGTTAAACAGAAGACCTACGACAGATAATTGTTCGAGAATGCCGATTTCTGACTCCGGACATCTTCGATAATGTAAGGAACGCTTTCGAAAGTAGACTGTATTATTGCATGGAACTCCGTTGATTGTGTTGTCATTGATATTACTCTTGTTGATTTCCTCAATAAAATGAGCGACAGCGAATTTTCTGTTTTATCTTAAATAAAACGTTCAACATTTAATTTCTCTATAACGAATGAACCAATTTCGAAAAAAATTACAGAGGTGATAGAGTGACAAAAGACCTTTCAAATGATGTATCACCCGACCCCCATGCCATTGCAAAAAAAGGAGGGGGGAGTCGTTGCTCACCGCAGGGGGGTTAAGTTTTGGTAATGATTTCCATATCAGAATTAGTCCCCCTAGAAATCTACCTGTTCTTGGAAATTTTTGATGACACGTCCATTTCTGACTTAGAGGGGTGTCAAGTTTTCGTTGGAACGCCCTATATAAAGCACTTGTGGTATTTTGACCCCATGTACACATTCCCGAGAGGAAAAGAGGAAGTCCAGAAACACCCTGTATACAGATTGGTTAAACTGGTTTCAAACAATGCCTTATTCAGTTTCGTATCTAATCTTGAACTCTAATTTTCAAAGTCTTAAATCAAAGAGTTATGAAAGAGAAGGCTATACGACAACAAACAATTAGTTACAAGAGAAAAAATACTTAGAAAAAATATATACTTTGCTTCTAGAACTCTTCTCAAGTTCAATACTTCATTTGTTCAACCATTTGATATGCAAATTCATCTCCAAAAGTCAGTAAGTTGTACTTGAAGTAATGTTAATAGCCGTGCTCTACATGCACAAACAATCAAACCTGTACATGAGAAGCTGTGAAACTTCGAGCTATTATTTTTATGCTAAATACGGATTGAGCCTCCTAATGATACCGTTCATGCATTTACTCAGTTTTAGCTCATCTTATTTCGAGTTTCATCTCAAAACTCAACTTCGAAAGAATATTTATTCATCATTTTAGTTCAGTTAAATTTACCAATAATAAAATACAGCATACAATTACAGGATATTATCCTCCGTTCCTTCGACTGTGGTAGAAGGTCTCCTTGGCTTATAGCCTTATAGCTTTTAATTTTGTGTAAATGTCTTGGCAACCATTTAACATAGAGCTCAAAACGATTTTTTGGCAGACTTGTTAACAAACTGATTGTGATGAAGTTTGTGATTCTGGAATATTCACCCCAACCCCTCATAGTTGTGACAGATCATTTTTGAGTGAGGTGTATTTCTGATAAGTTCAAATAAACACGAATAATAACTATTTCTTTTGAAGGTGAATCTGGATGAAAAACTATGTCTTGTGTGCCTTGAGCCTCTGGAGATTCAGACGCTCAAAGTTTAAGAAGCACTGGAGGTGAAGCTAATGATTGACCTATTGATAATAATAATTGTTATGGCTTCACTTGACTGAAGATTTCTGTGCCAAATGAAGAAATCTCTTCAAATAAATATCGCATCAATCAACATTCAAGCAAAGCAATTGAAATAGGGGCTATCTAATATGTTTATGCCCTAATCAAGAAGATTCCAAGTTATCTACTCTGCTTCCATCAGAATTAGCTTGAAAAATACCCACCGAGAGTTTTATGAGCACCAAAAGATACGATTCAAAATAGGACCCTATGAAGGTACACGGACATTTATTTTCCTACATATCATAACATATATTGTAGTGTGTGAACGCTGTTATCGAGGGGATAGTGTGGTGACCGGTACTGTCACCCAGAAAACAGTGTTTTAACTGAAACGGCTTTACGTACTGACCACGATGATCAACTGGATATGGATGTATAAATACAAAGGTGGCAGCTGGATCACACATTGGTGATAAAACATACAGATCAGAAGCTGCAACTATTTCCTGTGATGTTTCTGAAACCCTTTTTGTGAACTCGGGCACTTACATTGGTTGGGAACTATTGCTACTTTGGTAAGCCGGTCCCGTTCAATAGTAGAAATATAAATAACATTTTACCTAATTGGTGGATTGTGAGATATGAATTGTTGAACGAATTCATCTCTTTCTAATTTCGTTACTCTCATCTGACTTCCTCTTCTGTCTTCGTCTACAATGTGACCATATATTGATGGTAATTCAAAAAAAAATCACTGTTACTAGATATATGGATCGGCGGATCAATATTTTAACAGACAGCAAGAGCGCACTAGGGGCTCTGACAGACCCGAAGGTGACATCAAAACTGGTCTGGGAATGACATGAAGAACTGAATGAACTTGCAAACAGGAACAAATTAACTTTGTACTGGGTGCCAGGGCATTCAGGAATCACAGGTAATGATAAAGCTGATGAATGCGCTAGACACGGATCATCAACTTCATATATAGGTCCTAAACCAGCTCTACCAAAGCTCGTACCAAAATCATTGGTACGAAACCAGATTAGGACATGAACCAATAAGAAGCACACAGAGTACTGAACTTGCAAACAGGAACAAATTAACTTTGTACTGGGTGGCAGGGCATTCATGAATCACAGGTAATGATAAAGCTGATGAATGCGCTAGACACGGATCATCAACTTTATATATAGGTCCTAAACCAGCTCTACCAAAGCTCGTACCAAAATCATTGGTACGAAACCAGATTAGGACATGAACCAATAAGAAGCACACAGAGTACTGGACAAAAGTACCTGGCAACAAACACAGTGGAACTTTCATTAGGGAGCCGTCTGAGAAAAGAACCGAAGAACTACTTCAATATAGTAGGGATCGGCTCAGAATAATTACAGGGTTACTAACCAGTCATTGTCCGCTTTTCAGGACTCCTGAAAAAAAATGGGGCTGTACAACGGAGACCTCAGCTGCAGATTATGCAACGAAGGGGTAGAAACAGTTCTACACATCTTATGCGAATGTGAGGCACTGAATCACATGAGGCAGGCAATATATGGACGTACAAAATTACGTCCAGAGGAATATGACGAACATCCAACACGGAACCTGCACAAACTAGTACAGGGAACGAGACTGATGGAATGGGTTTCATGAGAAGATGGGAGAATAAACGCAATAAACTCAAGAGGCTGCAGTATTTTCTGGAAACTTGGACTAAATGGACAAGTCAGACAGCTCCCAAGGGACCAAAAGAAAAGGATCGGCAAGAATCCTATTGGTTATAGTTTTTTTCTACTTTTTTACTTACACAAGCTTTTTTTCAGACAAAACTATTTTCTGAAATTGTTGATGATGATCTATAGATTGTTATGCTTGCTATTTCATCTACGACTGTGGAAGATATTCATAAATTCAGTGAGACAACGGAGGAAGTGCTACACTTGTCCTCACAGCACATGATCTTATATCGTTCGGAATTTGGATCTCCGTTATTATTCCATCGGTAGTTGGCATGGCTTCATTTCTATTGGTTGAATTAATTGGCCTGATTCGTGTGTTGTTAATTTAAGTCATTAATTTAAGTCATTAATTTAAGTGTTGAGAGTTATTAATGTTTCACCTAACCAAATCTTTCGGTCCAAATTCTCCATATTCATTAATTTTTATCGCCTCTGTATATAAACTTGGATAGTGGCTCTTGGCCCTACCTTTACCGACCTCAGACTCTCTCCGACGGTTTTGATTTGCCTCAATATTGATCTCATTTCATGTTTTCCCAGAATTTTTCCAATCCTCTCATTCGTCTCCTTTCTTACCTCGGCGTTACCATTCCTCGGTAGTGTTTGCCGTTGAATTTCGGCTTCACTATACCTATTTCCTTTTGAGACATTTTCCAAATGTTTTTTTGGGAAACTCTCAGGTTCATAGATGCTTCGACCTTCCTCACTCAACGTTTCAATTAGTCTTTTTTTGTCATGGCTAGTCGTTGGGTTTTTGTTCAGATTTTCGAACTGCATGGACCAGTTCAGTTCTGGTATTTCATAGTTTTATTAGGTACTATACCCTACAATTTGATAATATATTTTGGATAGTTCGAACGAATTTATGTCTGTCGAAACAGATTTACATCTTGGGTTGGAACAGGTTGGAGCCTGGCTCCCTGACCCTTATAACGTGCTAATGTCAGAAGGACAAACGGAATATGAACTAATTTTGGGGGAACTTTTTTTGTCGATGGTGCTTTGCAGTAAACGTTTGATTGACTTTTTATCGATTATTCAACCCTACTATTCCTGAAATATTTTTGACAACGTGTTTTCCTGAGGGAATCTCCTGGAGCTCTTTAGTTATCAAGCTTCTCAAGTCAAAACATAACTCAACCATAATAGCTTCATGCTATGATCCATGACTGAAGAATCTACAGTAGAATTCGATCGATTGTTTGCAAGCGTGCATAGGTAACGTAAGCTAGTATATAGACGGCCACAATCGGAATTTAGATATTCCAATTTTTATCGACTATCCAAATTAGAAGTGTTCAAGTAGTCTCATATAAAAAATTTGCATGTAATCTTGAAAATAAATAGGTAATATATAAAAAAAATAAATATAATGAGGTTTCAATTCTCCTTTCCCTCCCGTTCTCCAAACCCGAGGTGGTGGAGAGGGAGACTTCACCAAATAAACATGGTAAACTAGTAGCTGGTGAACAACTTGTTATATAAAATCTAATTTTTGATTCCCAGATTCGGAGCTGATTTTTATTATATCATTTATCGTTAATTCTTTTATGAGATTTTAGTTTTCCAAAGAAAACACGCTTCAATGCTCATGAGTGTTTCAGTGAAAAATAATTAGCAAACTTTTTTGTACATAGTTGAATCAGTTAGTTTTCTTTGCATCAAATTAACTTGTTGAAATGGATGGTTAACTCAGAATATCCTGGTTATTTGTTCTGCAGTAAGGCCCATCGGACTCCGGTGAGGATACCTCATACTTACTATCAATCATTTCAGTCATGTCCGATTGGTAGGTACCGAAACAGTATTTACAGCGCATTTTAGTATCATCATCCACTCTTACTGACTGCATTATCGCGCATAGGGTGATGAAGGAAACTATGAAGAGTGCAGATGGTATACTTATCGCTATTATCAAATCTCTCCAAGTCCTCTTTAGATCGTACCGGGCCACAACCATGAAGGAATTGTTCTGAAAAAAAACAGGACGTTATATTATGGAGTTTCGAAGTTGAAGACAGGCGCATAAGCTGATATGTAACACCTAGTCTGTAAACTAACAATATTGTTACACCATCACTCCCCCAATGTACCGTCACTGATTGTAGCAATCCGAGTTCTGTATTGTGACGTCACCATCGAAACTTGTCAAGTAGTTTCCAATGAACGAGAAGAGTAAGAAGATTATCGAGGGCCTTCGATTATGGTCTGTTTACGAACCACACGGGTTGCAAAAGCAGATTGGTGATTGGAAGTCCACCATGGTCACTTTGATGTTCAATGGCTCATGAAAAGCATGGATCAGATAATTTTTTACTTATGATGCACTGTATCACTGGATCAGATAAGTTCAATGTGTTTCTCAGAGCACTCCTTTGATGTGTCAAATGCCCCTCAACGCATTAATATACACTAGTAATCAGACCCGGATTTGCACGCGAATAGGAATTTTAGATAAAATAATTTTGTAATATAAAGTGACCGCATGATGAAGTCTTCTATTTTCCATATTCAACCATCCAATCTCAATTAATTTATGTGATATTCTCATATATGTGAGAATGTGATATATGTGATAATGTGACATATGTGATATATGCCTCCATTAATTTTTATCAGAAAGGCGTGCTTTTGCAGATATCAGGGCTAAAATAATCTGGAACGTTCGCGAAAGTCCCAGATCATTCCAGATCACTGTGGAACGATCAATTGATTTATATGTTATGGTAACCCTACATCCCCAGTATTTTGACGGCCATGTGTCTTTATACGAGTCCATCAGATTGTAAAAGCAGATTAGATCAGAATACCGATTAGTTCGGAGTTTAGACGAATGACAAGGTTGTTAGAGTTAGTTTCGAGTCAATTAGCTGTAACAGTTAGAAAGTATGATTGGAATAAGAAGTGTCACGTTGTATTTTGAATTATCAAATGAATTCGAAATATATTGCAAATATCAACTGGAAATGTTAAAAAAAAGAAAGGGAAAGACAAAAAGAAGAAAAAAAACGGATTTTTTTTCAATTGGTCGAGGGAGTAGAACAAATACAAGGTGAAGTATATAGGATTTGAGATGATGTTAAGAGAATATATGATCAAAAGTAGATATTTAGCCGCAGACATAGGGAAATCTAAAAGGGATTGGGCAAAATGAATGATTGAGCCATGGAAGATATGAAAAGAGAATTAGAACGAATGAGTCATGAAAAAAATAAAAGAGGGCGCAGAAAAGATGACGATAAAATTGGACGGACAGATCCAGGTTGACAAAACAACTGAAACAAACATACATTGGCATTCAATAAAATCTGTTGGAGAAGTTACACAGGACAGTCTTAGCAGCGACAAGACCATTGCAAGGTAAAATACTGAAGCCTTCAATTCAAAGACATAACACAAATAAGATCATCAAGAGACAATTAACAGTAGTTATCTTCTGAAGATGTTTACTTTGTTAGCATCAAGATGTGGAATAAGTGTTTTCAATGAATTTATTTTACACCAGAGATTCCAATCCTACCTATCAAGCTTCAAAAAACAGTCTTCGTGAGTCGTGTTTCTCCGACAATTCTAAACAACAACCAAAGCTAACTGAAGGACGGAAGGAAATTAGTCTACTGCCCTACTATTGGCACTGCGAGGTGAGGCACTGGAAATATGTTAATCCATATAATATGTCAACTGTGACTCTCTCGCACGGAGTTCCAGATAGATATGCCATTTTTCCTCGACTTGTGGTAGGTAATTGTCTTCTTTATTTCTATGTAACGGCGACAGTAGAACCGATAATAAACTTTTGTGCCAAGATTTTCTTGGTGACGATATATCCTGTTGTTAGACTACTGTGGAGTTGTTTGAGCACATCTTTGATTTGTGTTCTTGGAGTGTTTTTCTCAAAAAATGAATTTGAATGTTAAATGCTATTTCCACCTTGTTCACTGAATGTTTTTATAGTTGATAATGTAGTTGATAGTTGATGGGAAGGTCTCTCAGGATAACCACTTGAGTTAACCACTGAATCAATTGAAATGGATGTTGGAAAATGTCTTCAGTATGTGGTTCTACCATTCATGTGAAATTCATCTTTATTAGGCCTTACCGGATATAATAATATAAACTGATGATTCACGTATTTTCTTTCGAGTTCGTGATCCGTTATGGATCCTAAATTATTGTCCATCATAAAAATAAGCATACCTATGTCCATTCTTACTGAAGAACAGTTTGACAAACTTAAATATTCGTAACAAACCGGAAGACCTCGAATAGTACCACCGAACTGGGAAGCAATGACATCATCGTTCAATATGGTGTTAACGGTCTGACTAAGATTTGAGAAGTTCAGAAGATCAACGTATGAATGAAAAGAGAAAATTTTATGATACAGTAAATACAGATAAGTGAAATTGTGGAAATGTTAGTCACAAAATACTAGAGTACATTTGGTGAGCAAACCAATATAACTTTTGACAGCTACAGTTTCTGCTATAACCCATTTTGCAATTGCATTAAATAGAAGTTTTACTGAAACAGATTGGAGTAAATTATGAATTCACTCTAAAATGTTATCAATCATATTTCAACTCCATTTTTTTTGTTCAGTTGATACCGAGCTACACTTGAATTCGACAGTTCTACGATATAAGTGTTAATGAATGGACTGATCCGTTACTTTATGAAAATTAATAACACTGTCTATGATATTAATTAAAATAATTAAACAATTTTCACAAACATTTTTTATTTCCAGACGGGTTTCGCTAATACCGTAGCTTTTTCCGTAGCTACGATGTTAGCGAAACTCGCCTGAAATAGAAGAATGTGAAAATTGTTTAATTATTATAATGGATATAAGTGTAGATCAGCAGACGTAGGATACAATACTTCGGGCATATTGTGACGCCCAAAGATGTTAATATGGTATAGCGAAACACGTGTCGCGGTTTTATAAATTTTCACGTGGAAATCTCACATTGAAGTGTGTTTTTTGAAGACGTTATAATGGATTTCCGTCAAGTATCGATTAGTTCTATCATATAACAATATCGATTTTTCAATTTTCTGTCGTTAACCGTTAATGTTATCATCGTAAAAATAGGTCAGATGAAATGCATTTCATCAGTTCGGACTTCCATTGTCTGATATGGATATAAATTGATTTTAAATCCCTGAAAGAATCTGTAAAAAAATTGAAAAGATTATCTGAAAAAACAATTTTATTAAGCAAAAAACTGAAATTACAATGAAATAACATACAAGCAACAACCAAAAAAAAAACAAAAAATTGAACTATTAACACGAGCTGAAAAATTAAAAAATTATTAATGAGAAATTATAATTAAAAATATGAAATTAAAAGATTCGAAACCAAGTAACTCCACGACGTTTCGATTGTTAGTATCCACAATCGTCTCCGGGTGATAACCACCTTCAAACAAAGGTCAGACGAAAGTTGTAAATCATGCAATTGTTCATAGATATTGTCCCTCAACGTTTTTTTTCCCACGAATTACCATACGAATGTGATATCGTTATTTCAAACATCAAAGTCAGTAAAATGCACTCCTATAGGTACGTGGCCTATACTTTGTATCCAAGATAAGTAAAGCATGGAGAATTGGAAGCCATAGGAGATACAAATGTAATTTCGATTAGTGTCGGAGATTTTCGGAAAGAACCATAATTCGCCAATTTCGTTTTAATTCTCTTCTGACGTTATTTAGGAAGACATTGGAAAACAAAAACTTTCATATTAACACTTCCCAAACTGTATAAAGGAACGTCTACAGATTTTTAAATCCGACGTTTCATCTCCGAGAAACCATCATCAATTTAAATGTTTTAAATAAACCAGAAAACTGAATCACACGGTATGAGTGTGCTTTTTTGGTGACAACTTCACTGAAACGTCATTCAAAGAAGCTCTAAAATGTCAACTATTCTCCTAAATCAACCGAATTTGTATCTCTTACAGTTTCCGATCTTCCCATGATGGCCCTCCTTATCTTATACACAGAGTATAGGCAGGCCATGCACGTATGAGTGCATATTACTTTTTTCAATGTTCGAAATAATTTCCCAGAAATGGTGATTCGTAGAAAAAAGAAAGTATAGGAACATTTTTTGTAGACAACTTCATGATCTATAACTTTTATCTAACATATTTTTTCGATAACACTTACGATTGGGGAGAAAAATTCAAAAACTGATATTTTTGACCTTTAAATTTCATTACATTTTTATCAAACATAGAATCGGCGGGGACTTTTGATATTCTATTTGTGAGCTTACCACTTTTTTTATCACTCATTTTGACTAGACTATATAATAATTATATAGATCATACAAACTTTTATAGCATCTTTCTGTATCTATATATTTTTTTGAGTTTAAAAAAAAACTGTTTAAAATCTGTTTTTCCGTTAACCAATTGTCGCACTTGTGTGAGCTAAGGACTAACGAGGTCTTACCTTTTAACGTGTGATTCCTAACATGGTATAAACATTGTGTAACTGGCTGTATGGTTTCTGTCATAAAAAACCTTATGTTTCTGTAGCATTGTATAAATCTGAAGACCTCAATAAAAAGCTTGAAGAATTGTATTGTTCCCATGATTATTAAAAGAAACGTTTAGGAATTAAAGACAACTAAAATTTGTTGAAACATGTTTATCCGTTAACTTCAAAAGTGGAAACTTGTGCCAGCTTGTTTAATGAGCTTTGAACTATTTTTTATGACTTATTTGATGATGAAAGAATTCCTGAAAATTCGTAGTTTTCTTTGATTTTTGGAAAAAAATATTCAATTCATTTCAATCTTTGTTCAATATACGTATGTCCAACTTGAAATCCCAAAACCCTACGTGAATGTATGTGTTTCGTCTCACCTTGTTGTAATAACACGGATATCTGGACTGAGCAGTTTGGTTTCTTCCATCACTTCCATGGGTGTGTAGAAATTCGAGACATTCGCCTTTGAGAGTGTTCACGCAGCCATCCAAGTTGATGAATAAACGTGAAGCGTTGTAAATAGTTAAGGCGGACTGTGTTGGAACAAATTGATTAGTGGGGTCTACGGCATAACTCTCTTTCCCTGTCAAATTCCAAAATTGCCTGAAGGTAATGTAAGGCCTCGGTATTGTTTCTAATTCGTATATTGTCCCATTTATACAGTCTGTGGCACTGAAAAGAAAACTCAGTGATATTATTGCATTCGAACTGTTTTGAATAAAATGGGAAGAATGTCGAATATTTTTCGTATAAATGATTCAGATTGATGGCTGGCTCAGGAGAGTTGTTTCTTAGTGTCAGCTAGATATGCGATGGTCTGCGAGTCAGACTCTTTCCACGTAGTTCTGATATTTTCGCAAAATTCTTGAATTTAAAATTGAGAACGGTAATTTGAAGATGAATTACATGAACAAAAATAACTAAAGACAAACGTATTATATAAAATATTATGGTTATGAATTGAGCGTCATTTTATTAACTCGACTGCAGCTCAACGTCATTGACGGCGATATAAAAAATGAATAAGAACTTGAGCCATCAGCTTCAAGGCACTACGTTGAAAGTGTGAAATGAAAAACGACTGCATTAGCATTTTTCGGTTAGAATCAATCTTAGGGAGACTTGAACTCACAAAGAAGAGCGGGAGAAAATGCTACCCCACCGATAGGAAAATACAAGTTACCCATCGAGTGGTAGAAGACCTGTTACCCTCTAGCGGGACAGAAGAACATGATACCGCTCGAATAGGACAAGATCTCTTACTTCACGAGCGAGAGAAGACCTGTTACTTCTCCGCCACTCTTCAAGCGGGCGGTAATGTAAACCCCTCAAGAGAAAAAACACCTGTTAACCGACCGTTTACTAATCGAGCTATAAGACCTGTTAGCTTTCAAGCGGAAGATGACCTTCGTGCAAAAAAACATGTAAACCTTTGAGCAGAAGAACATGTGACCCCTCGACAGGTAGACGCCGTGTTACCCCTCAAATAGGAGAATACTTGTTATACCTCAAGCGGGATGACATGTTGAGCAGGTGGGAGATCTGTTATACTTCGAGCGGATGAGGACCTCACCCCTTGAGCAGGTGAGGACCTGTTATTCTTCGAACAGGAAAACATGTAATACCTCGAGACGAACAAGACCTATTATCCTCTCGAATAGAAGGTAAACATGCTATGCCCTGGAGAGGAGGGACACATAACAGCTTGAGCGGAAGAGTAGCTGTTATCCTTCGGTGTAGAAATCATGTGATACTCAGAGGTGATAGTGTTAACCATAGAGCGAAAGAAGAATGAGTTACCACTCGAGTGGAAGCAGAACATGCTACACCTCGAACACGCTACCTGTTACGTCTCGAGCGAGAGAACATGCTCACTCACGAGTGAGAAAATACCTGTTACTTTCAACAGGGGAATTTGTAACTCCTTGATGAGACCAGGTATTCCTCTAGTGGACGGACATGTAATCTCTCGATCGGGAGAAGATCTGTTACTCCCCAAATGGGCCGACATAGCCGAAGAAGAGACCTGTTATCCACTGAGAGGGACTACTTAATGACCCCTCGAGCAGGAGAAGACCTGTTACTCTTGGAGTAGTAGAACATGTAACCCTTCGAGAGAAAAAAGAGCTGCTACCCCTTGAGCAGAAAATGAATATTTTGGTTCTCGAACGGTAGGTAAACATGCTGCCCATTGAGCGAAAGGACATGTAACTCCTCGAGCGGGAGAACACTTTATATCCTTCAAGCAGGAGAACATGTATTAGTCGAAAGGAAGAGAACATGTTACCCATAAAGTGGAAGAAGACATTATACCACTCCAGCTGAACAAAAACATGCTTTCATTCGAGCGAGAGAAGAAAATGCTAAACCTTGAATTCACGACCTATAACTTCTCGAGTGGGAGAACAAGCTCACCCATGAGCGAAAAATGACATGTTACTCCACGAACGGGAGAACAGATAGCTCCTTGAGTGGAATAAGATGTTACTCCCCGAGCAGGCAGACATGTAACTTCTCGAGCGAAAGAACATGTAATTTTTTGAGCGGGAGAAGACCTGTTACCTTTTAGTGGGAGAACAAAAATATTGCATTCAAAAAATGAACCAATCAAATATTTTGCTACAAATATACATTAATGAATCAGTTCATGAGTCATTAAGAAAGGAGGCTTCCAAAAGTGGTCCATTGCGAAGCCAAGTTTCGACATCGACCGTAGAGTAATAATGTTGTTTTATTCAAGAACAAACAAAAATTGTATGGAAAGCAAGTCAAAGTTTTCAATAAAGATAGTTTATTTCATCTTTGATTACCAGACCATAGATAGATTATACTATCATTGTGTATATCAAATATATCAGGTCTGATTTCAGCCCCGTGTCTTTTCTTGAGTGCGCCTGGCCAGCCTCAATGATAACTTCATCTTTTTTACTCTTTCTAGATGTTGGTTTCAAGTCAGTCTGGGATCTGAAATCACTCTCAGATATTTAATGATTTTCGACATTTTGAATTTTCACCTATAAGTTTTGGAGGTCCTGAAATCCTCTGTCTTAGTTCTCTTGGTGATTGGGTTTATGTTCAGTCTTACTCTCTCAATTCATTTTGTTATAATATTCATAGGTCCTCTATGGACTAGAATGACTGAGTCGTTTGCAAATCCCAGTACTTTATTCCGGATATAGTCCAGAAAACTTATCGATTACAAGATTTCATAACAATGGGGTCAAGATCTCTTTGAAGACAAAGGCGATATTATGAGAGATGATCACACTGAGGACCCCATATCCGTACCCCATAAAGATCGTGTATTTCAATTTGTACTATGCAGTTGATTCATCTACAGCTCTACGGAAAATTATACATGTTCTTGGGATCTCCGAGGTTCTGTTATGAATCAACAATTAACGCCCGCCTGACTAGAGCAACAACAAACACCCTCATAACATTCGTAGGACCGACGGAGCCTGCTCACTACGTTGTAAGTTTGTTCGAAGTCTGTGTCAATTATGGTTATTTCATTGAAACTACTGCCCAGTTTTCAGTTCAATCTTGACACAATTTTATAAATATCGTGAATATTTATTACATTTATTCCACCAGTAAAATAATTTTCAAGAACAATTTACTAAAGTTTCCCATTAGTCAAGAAGGAATTAGGATATCGAAAAAAAAAGATTATAGAAGACGATTTAAAGATGAGTAATAAAAGTGCAACCAGAAAACTCATTCCATTTGGAACGTGGCATGAATTTTCGATTAATTTTCTCTTTACGATTGATCATTGCGAAATAGGTTTTCTGTTAGTTTTCAGCTTATGATGAGATTGTTGGTCAAACATTTTTAAAGTCCACTGTTAGGTGCGTATATGACAGAAACTGAAGGCCCCGCTGTGGGAGAAAATGGTTTGTGTATTTTGATAATGAATAAATAATAATATCCGGTTTCAAGGGTGATTATAAGGAAAATTTGTATGATGGCGCTCCTACGGTCAAAATACTCCGGAGGTAAAATGGCTCCCCAATCGGAGGGTCTTCCTGACATCAGTCCACAGGGAAATAACATGGTAACTGCAGTTGCTGAGAGTCCCACTAGCAACTTCAAAATCGATTTATGCATCATCAGAGGACTCAACTCAAATATAAACTCAGTGCACCAACACCTGCGAACAAATAGTCCTCATATTTTTGCATTCACATAAACTAAAGTCAGTGCTTTCACAAAAACCGTCAATTTTCTATATCCCGACTATGATTTCCACTCCAGATTCAGACGTAACTTTGGAATATCTCTTTTTATCATGCTGGAACCATAAACTTTGATGTTATGTGGTTCAAAATAATATCACAGAAGATCACTGAATTCATATGCTGCGTTTATCGACCACCAAGCGATACAGAAAATAGGGAACTATTCTCTTCACTTGCAAACATCATTGACTTTCTGCAAATCTGTCATCCCAGTGCCGAAATTGCCATATTACGTGACTTCAAATTTTCAAATATCGACGACGAACAATATTGTGAAGCTGAGGCTTTTGCAATGAGCAGCGGACATACTCAGATTATAAATGAGCCAACCAGGATTCCTGACCGTGATGGAGAATATGCTAGTCTTCTGGATCTATACCTAACAACTAATCCAGAACTTTACATATTCACTATAAGGTCTTCATTGGGATCTTCTGACTACAAACTCATTTCAGTGTTGAGTGAATTACCGATGAATGTTGGAGAGTTTGACATTACAGATCTGCTGAGTGGGAGGATCTTCAAGACAATTTTCGAAACTTCCCCTGGCTAGATATTTTTTTCAGCTCTAATGATCCATCGACTTGTGCTTCTGAAGTAACGGAAGTTATTCTATCATTCATGGATGCATATATTCCTTTTTCGAAGAGAATTTCTAATGGCAAACCTTGGTTCAACAAAAATTGCGACCAAGCTGTCGCCTCCAAAAACCTCGTCTACCCAGTGCCGAAAACCGAACTAGGTTTGTTAATGCTCGCAACAGCTGCAAACTTAGATTTAATGAAAACAAGGAACTTCACAATCAGAGAATTAGGGTCTAGATCTTTTTTGTCGGTAGCTAAAGCTGTTAATAAAAACTTTACAAAATTCCCAATTACACCACTAACAAAAGCGGATGTTTCAATTGCAACAACAGCAATAGAAAAAGCAAATCTACAAGTTGAACAATTTGCGTACCACTCCACAGTCGATTTTCTGGGAAGTGCACCACCCACTATTCCCACACTAGAATCTACAATGCCGGAAATTACTTTTCGGCAAAGTCTAGTCAGGTGAATTTTGAATCAGATCAATATCAACAAGTCCTGATGAAGTGCCCGTCATCGTACTTAAAAAATGGGCAAATGAATTCACACCAGTATTTTGCAGACATCTGTCTTACAAGGAAGGGATTTTCCTTATTGTTGGAAGATTTCTCGCGTTTAGCCTATTCCTAAAAAGGGAAAGAAACATCTTCCAAATAACTATGGACTAGTCGCTTTGCTATCAGTGATATCAAAAATCATGGAGGAAGCCGTAAACCAAGAGATGTTGTGCTTCATATTTCTAAGGAGTTTGACCGTGTGTGGCATGGGGGTTTGCTGGCCCAACTTCGATGCTATGGTTTGTCGGATCCTTTTTGTGTATGGATCTTCAGCTTCCTGAAAGAACGTTCCCTGCAAATGGCCGTCAATGGATATCTCTCGAATTCTTTCACCATCAACGCTGGTGTTCCCCAGGGATCCATATTGTCTCCAACTCTCTTTTTATTGTATATCAACGACTTATTGGAAAAAACTAAGAATCCAATATATTGCTTTCTTAACGACAGCGTACTCGTCATTCCATTTGGATTCTAGGACATCGGCTGCAGATGCTCATCTTCACCGGCAGCAGGAGGTTGGATATCTTAATGAGGATCTAGAAGTGATTTTGAATTGGGGTGAAAGTAGTAACCAGGTTCAATTCAATGCCACGAAAACACAGAAATCGGTATTCTCCAAGAAGATAAATGCCTCCAAATCGGATCATCTCCAACAATTCTGGGCATTGACTAATAGGTAGTAAGTATAATGTAGACAATATTTTTATGTAAATAACTGTAATTCACCTTATTTATCCAAGTAATTAGGCTGAAATAGCCTGTTTGGGTAATAAATAAATAAATAATAATGTCAGGACGGATAGTGACGCTTTCTGCTTCGATACATTTGTTAGGGGTTAAAATGGACACCAATATGTCTTGGCACAATCATGTCGCTGGAATTACAAAGGCTGCTTCTCAAAAGCTTGGAACACTATTCCGAAACAGAAAACTGTACAAATCTCAGCAACTTTTGATCTTTGGAGAATTGTTTTCATGTATGGAGCGCCGCCTGAAGCTGCTGGATTTCATCCATCCATCCAGAGCCATCCGCCTGACTGCAGACGCGGACGTCACTTGCAACCTTGATAGTCTGGAACATCAAAAAAAAATGGAGATTTGTCTCTCTTCTATAGATATTTTCACGGGAAGTGTTCAAGTGACTTGGCAAACTTTATTTCACCAAGAGGGTTACATATCAGAAATACGCGAAGGATTGTGGCTGCTCATCGTTTTGAGGTTCAACTCAGTACAACTCGAACTTAACTGTTCATGAACTCTTCCATTTGGAGAACTGCGCTTATGCACGGGTGCAATGCTGATACTAAAAATCACCCACCGGAAATTTAAGGGGCATGGAGAAACAGTGATGAGAAGATAATTTTGTTTTACGGGCGCTCTTTTTCTCCGAAGCTGGCGCTCCAGTTGGAATATTTAAAAATACTTTTTTATTGCACATTCACAACACACATACAACAACACCTACATAAAAAATTTCAGCTTCCGAAAATTTAGCGGTACGGAGAAACAGTGGTGAAAAAGTAATTTTCATATGTAAACGGACCCCTTTTACCCCCACAGCGGCACCCCAGCTGGAATATTCGAAAATCCTTTCTTTGTGCGCATTCAAGATCTATGAAGCACCTAAATACTAAATTTTATCTTTCTAGGACTCATCAGTACGGAGAAACAGAGATGAATGAGTGAGTGTTAAGTGAGTGACTTTCGCATTTATAAGTATACATAAACTTCCTGAGAACGTTTTGCCGAACGTTTTTCCAAACGGATTCAATCTCCAGCGACTCAAATCCAATGTGAATCGCTACTTTCACACATGCACCTTTCTTAGATCGCCTAAAGGATTTTCCTGTAGTGCTTGTGTTTTGTCCTTAAAAAAGACAAATTCGTTCGGTTCCTTTTTCACTAACTGAAGAAATGATGTATGATAGGAATGAAAAGTGACTAGTGGATTGTTATTTATTGAATTGTGAAACAATTTTGAGTTTCATGTCTTCCAAGAAATATTATTTATTAATAATAAAAATACACAAATGTTTTCTTCCACAGTGTGGCCAATAGATTCTGATATTTACGGACCTAACAGCACACTTTCAGAATTTTTCAACAATTTCACGATTAGCTGAGATATAATAGAGCAAAACCATTTCGTAATGATCACTCGTAAAAAGAAAATTGATGAAAAATTTACGTTAGGATCCATGTGCAATGAGTTTCGTGGTTGCACCTTTATCCATTGAATTGTTTATTTTATATCTATTTTTATTTGTGGTATGAATTACTTCTTGACTAACGGTTCTTGAAGGATATTTGTTCATACAATTGTTATTTTCAAAAATGTAAGACTTTTCTAGAAAGGACCTCTTAACTGAGATTGATTCAGTGGTCAATACTTTCATTGAGTTATAATCCATATGGTGGTCAAACTTATTCACATGGTCTGCTAAAGAGCATCTTTCTGGATGTATTCTACAGTCACTTTTGTGCGAAGTAATTCTAGCACCTAATGATCGTGAAGTTTGGCCAACATATATCTTATCACATGATTGATACGGAATACTATACAGAACATTCACTTGGTTTATTAAAGGGACCTTGTCTTTGACTTTGCTATGGATTGATTTAATAGTAAGTACCGTTTTATTTGCTATTTTAATGTTAGGTAAATTTTGAAAAATCCTAGATAGTTTGGGAGTGATCTCCTTGATAAAAGGTAAGTATGTAAAAATGAATTGGGCTGGAGCATCACCAGTTATATTGTCATTGACAGGGAGGGTTAAATTGGAAGTTAAATTATAGTTTTCCAGAGATGTTGGTGTACTGAACAAAATATTATTCACCAAACGAATTGGATAAGAATTTTCTATGAAAAGATTTGCAAGAATTTTAAGATTTTTATTATGGAAGCTTATATCTGAGATTTTTAGCACTCTATTTTTCAGTTGCTTGACCAAGTTCACTTTCATTGAATGTTTAATGCAGTCAAGCTGCTGGAAATTAATTCCATGAAAATCAAAAAATAAATAGATAAGTACTTTTTGATCATTCCCATATTGATTTCAATTTAAGAGCCACCGGTAGACAGCTGTTTCAGCCTATTGGGCATCGTCAGTACCGGGCAGGCAGTCCTCGATTTAAGACGAAATGAGAAAAGCCAAGAAAGTACTTGATAAAAATAGCCGCGTAAACGCAAGCGAAACATAAGTGGAAACACCTATTGGTGTGACACCCAAGTCAACTTGCCAAGTTTTTACGTCAGTGTTGGTGGTTTGACCAATCAACCGACAACTGTGGTAGCAGAAATTTGGGAAGCATGTTTCTAGAATTGATATGAAATCTAGAAAAGTTAATGTAGTCAAGCTGCTGGAAAATAATTCCATGAAAATCAATAAATAAATAGATAAGTACTTTTTGATCATTCCCATATTGATTTCAATTTAAGAGCCACCGGTAGACAGCTGGTTCAGCCTATTGGGCATCGTCAGGACCGCCTGCCCAGTACTGACGATGCCGATACTGACGATGTTAATTCGTATCGAGATTATTCGAACATATAACAGATCTCAGCGCCATTATTAGTTGTATGAGGGATTAGTTGGTTAGACATCAATATATCTGGTTGGTTTTGAATAGAGATGCTCTAATATATATGAAAAAAACATATTCGAAAATATACCTAACCACAAACTTACTGTGCTATTTGTTTCACCTCGTCGTATTGTACAGTGTGGCAAGTGACCATAAATACCTCATTGGGAAGTTTGGACCAGAACTGGGTAGGTTCTATGATTATCCCTTCTTCCTTCCCGAAAGCTTTCGTTGTTGCGACCGAAGACTCACAATGGGCGTGATGAACACTATTACCTACTGAGATATACACATTTTTCGTGGACGAAGTTATATTTTCTTTGCAGATTCTATCACAACTAGGGAATCTTTTGATCTTGGTACACTTGGCACCCTTACATTCAAAAAATCCATTGAGCTTGGCGTTGTCTTTGTCGGTGTCTACCGAGAATCCATCAGCCTTATAGTGACATTCGTAGATTTCCGAAATATTGGTACAGTGGCCTAGAGAACAGTTGAACACTCCTCTGAGAGAAGCGCATTCAGTCCCGTTGTTGCAATTATGTTTCTTCAGCTGGCTGGAGGTTACTGGCGGACAGAAGGACGTCTGGAAGTTGGTGCAGTTAAGGAATTGAACGGTGGTTCCGTTCTGTCTGGTAGTCGCGTGGATTTGGGGACAAAACCCCGAGGTCTTGGTCAGACACCACTCACCACAAGATGCCCAGCTGCAATTGTTTTCCGTGCTTATGTTGAACGTTTGGCACATTACTGGTTTCTCTTCGAACCCACTGCGAAAGGCCCGATACGACGGTATGTAGATAGCCACTGTTAGGTAAATAAGCGAAACGCAACTAAAAACTACCACGAGCTGACAAAAGCAGATGCAGCCACATATTCGTTTGTCTTGTTGAGGGATCATGCGGGGTTTGCATTTGTTTCTTCTACCCATTGTACGGAATTATTACCATACTCGTGAAAGGCACTTGTTATTTTGAATTTGTGCTTGATGTCTACATCGTACGGTTGGTTCTTTCTTACTCACGTTGACTACTAGAAGTTGAGTTTTCAATCGACTGGATTACTGGGGTTGTGCCGTCGGCGCCAACGCGACGCAGGCGTCGCTCCCGGCTGGCTGTTAGTCCAGTTTCTGAAGACAAAATCTGAGGGAAATTGAAATTTCACATACAAATAATTTCTTAATGGAGGACTCCCATTGCAGTTGGATAAAAAAATAAATAAACACATACATAGATGAGGATTGAATAAGTCATATAAAAAATAAATCAAATTGGTAGTAAAACGAAGAGAGAAAGTTTGTAAAAATTTGAAACGAAACTAAACGTATCTATGTATGTTAATTTAAGTAATAGTAAACACCACCTGCTGACATAATTATTTTAATATTCATTGATGGCACATAAAACATACTTGAATATAGATATAACAGTCCGCAAACAGAATTTTAAATATTATCACAAACCTATTCAGTCATCCTGTTAACTGCAAAAGTCCGCTGTACCTATACTATCCTAATAAGTAATGATTGCTCATTATAAATGCAAAACGCTAATAGAGTACTCACACAAAATTTGATATTTTGATATGATTTGCCACAGCTGGAATAGGCAGGTTTATAATACTTAACGGCAAACGGGTCTCGAACAAAATATTTTATGAGCGTTCGGGTTGTTTTCTACTTGCAGTAGCGAACGTTTGGGTAGTTATTAAAAAATACTCGTTAAAAACTAATAACTGTGCTTATTTATTCACATACAGTTAATATTGTAATACGAAATGGGGTAAGTTGTAATTGGTCAACCGAAAAAACGCGCGACTAATTATACTCACACTATTACACTATTGAAATATTGAATATTTTTCGCGATAAACTCAAAAACCAACGAACTGGTTTTACCAATGAAAGCAGTGATTCAAGAGAAAGGTTTATGTGCATAATTGGTTAAAATATGGCGACATTATCCATGAGAAGATGGGGCATTGGTGCTACCATTTAAAGCATTCATAGAAAACGCTGTCTAATGAATTTTGTTCATTTCTGAAGACGGAGGCAGATTTTGGCATCTGAAACGTTACGATAAGTATTGTGTTATTTCTTAGCTATTTTATTGATAGGCAAAACTATTGAATACAACTTACTGATAAATAGAACATTTTTCTTTGTGAAAAATAATTTGATTTCACGCTTATTGGAGTGAACTAGAAAGTTTTCCCTTTCTACGCGTGTATAAAGTTCAACATTACAATTTTCATATTTTTTAGATCGTGGAAGGTGAAAATACTCAAAAAAATTACTTTCGTTCAACGTATGCAATATTTTGAAATGACTATGTCCCTGAGCGTTTCATGTATATTATAATGGCTTTTCACACCAGACAATTCAAACTGATATTTTAGAAGTTATCGCACAAAAAAATAAACTCAAACTGACAAACGGCTTGACAAACTGATGCGACAAGTGTCATGAAAAACAGTTACAATTGTTTTCAGGTAACCTCCCTCCCGATTTAATGGAAATTAACACCAGGTCCCAGAAGTAATTTTTATCTTTAGATATATTCAACACCAAATCAATATAGTTATGGCTTGTGAAGAAACAAAATTATTCAAAACATTTTATATTTTCAGAAGAATCTACTTCGAAATTGTTTAAAATATCTACAGGAGAACAATTTGACGCAAAAGTAATAAGTTACGCTGGTTTCGTTTCGAGATGATCTTAACTGTCATGATTTCCTACAGATATTCAAGACAACAATTACTTGCAGATGAAAGATTTGGAGTGTGCTAAGGTTTGGAGTTTGTAGAATCATTCGTTTTGATACTTAAATCCTAGAAGCATGTCTGATGAAATTCTAAAAACCACCAAATATCCTCTATTACATACGCTAACCGATATCGACAAGTCTTCAGACAGTTATGTAAAGGAAGATCCTTATTGAACACGATTTCAAAAGAAAACAAAAAATAAAAGTCGGAAGGATGTTTGAGAAGGAGAGTTTGAGAAAATGAAGGTATTGCGTGTTCACCTGAAAATAAGTTTAGAGTCGGTTGCAGTGTAATTCAGACAATAGACAGGTCACTTTGACATCACCTGTAACATATATCTTAAGGTATGTCACATTCCGTAGTAGGATGTTCAAGGTGCAAGATTTGCATTGCATCCACCTTCACAAATATAGGCATCCTGATTCAGCCATGTAGGGCCTTTTCGACTCTGGTTTGGGCATAAGTGTTTGCTGATCCTCAGCACTTTGTTTTATTCATGACACAGATTCCGCATCTGCTGCTTAAGAATTTGGTGCAAGGCAGATTCGTAGAATTGAGGATTCCGTAAGTAGCTAGGATAAGGAGTTTCATCATGGCAGAACCCCGCATTGCCGTGACAATTCTTTCGACGGCAATATACTGCCCGATATCTCGAAGGTCCCGTATGCTCAAAGACATAAATCCTTTCTAGATGTATACACACACACACACACCTTAGGAAGAGGCGTTATTAAGGAGTACTCTTACCTCCACGGCAGGAGTCTTCTAACCCCCTCCGCTGCAGGGCGGCACTATAAACCAACTGTGCTGTCAATTTCTAAGGTATCGCATATCCTCCAATGGTCGTTAGTAATAACATAGGTAACCCTTCTATGAGGACATTTCGTGATAGCGACTTACTGTGGTTATTAGAAACCTATTTGTTTCATCGAATAACTTGAATAGAATATTGTTTAAGACGATAATTATTCAAAACTTAAATGTGCGGACTTTGACAACTGGACTACATGGTCACTGGGGTGTTTACATATTGTCATTCGCTATCCCGACTTGATCTATTCCCTAATATGGGGGTTGAGAAGCATAATGGTTCGTTGTACAATCGCAAGGGTAGATTGGATTGCTATAAATCCAAATGAATTTATTATCTTGGAACACTAATACCATTGTACTTTTTCACTGGAGCAATCTTAGTTATTGATCGTGTCGGCTTTTTCCGAATCTATTTACTATCACAATGAGGGGGCGGTTCACTCGTGTTCATTCATTTGAAGGAACTTAACTATACGGGTAAATAATGTATAATGAATATAACCAAACGTGCTTCTAGATTTATTTCAAACTTACTTCAGTATACTCGTACTCCACGGTGCTTGCAATGTAATTGAGTTTTGATAATTTTGGAAGTGTAATAGATGCCCCTCGATGTTGAGTATAGTTTGTCTGGCAGCATACGGCTTACATCCAGAGTTCAAAACCTTTCTTGAAGTAGATATTAAAAAAAAGTCATATATTACGACGGTCTTGGAAGTCACCCTATATATTTATTTGACTAGAGGGACAGGCAGAGGCAGCATTCGTGAATGTTGTCATAAAACCAACCTTCAAAGTAGTCAATATAGAGTCAATTGGAGGCCTGAGAGTGCTTTTATGTTGGAACCGTGACAAACGATACAAGCGAAGCGGATAAAATAACATTGTTTCTCACACAACTGTTTACATTGGAGCAACGCTTTGGACCACAAGTGGTCTACAATTGGGTTTTCTCATCTTTAATCGAGGATGGATATAGAAGAGTTAATTGATGAAGTCCTTGATAGGTCTCCACTGTGGAATGAAGTGGGAATGAAATTAAAAAGAAATTGTAAATATTTTTATTCATTTCGCACGGTAGCATAACATATATGCTTACTTGTTTTCTCTCATAGTGTCACACCAGCTTGTTCATGAAGAAAGTTCCCATTTTTACCTGAAAGGCGTACTTTTCAAGATATAAAGGCTGGATTTTTCGCCCTCCAGAAACTTCTGAAACAATTCAGGATATTCAGGAGTACTCGAAAGCATTCCACGACATTCCAAAACACCTCGGTACATTCTCGAATGTTCTAGAAAAGTTTGGAAAATTTTGGAATAGGTTGAAACCTTTGAAATAATTCCATAACATCCCATATTATTGTGAAATGATGAATGGAGTTATATGGTGTGGCAGATGAAAGATATATTGATTATTCAGTCGAGTCGCAGGTACACTGCTGTGTCCTGCCGCTGGATGAATGAGAAACATCTGCAAAACTAACCTTTGTGAGGTATCTGTATAAATGTCTGTCGGGTATAATTCAATACCCATTGTGGTATTACCCAGGAAGTAGTTGTTTTCCGGTAGACATTTACCAGAATCTACCGTGTAGGTACGTTGGGAGAAATGAATGTTTCTGTATTCCATTTCGAAATATTCATATCTAATGATATCTTATGAATCTGCTTTGCCCTAAATTCTTGAGCATCAGAATCTTATTCTGTATCAAGACAGAAAACCTCAGAGTAATAAAGCAACACATAAACAAGCTCCCATTGAGCAAATCAGCAAACGCTCACTCAAACGATGAATGATGGGAGGCAAAAAGTAAAGCATGGCTGAATCTGATGTATATTTAGGTATATGCTTGAATATGAGAAGGTTGCTGCAGTCATTAAAGTGGGAATCTTGCACCGTGAACATCTGACAACCTCAATATAAACCAATCAACGGAAACTTTTTCAGTATGTCATTATGGCTGCCGTAGAAGATTTTTCAGAACATGGTCCTCAAGTACAATTTCAGAGCTTCAAATTTTGACCTGGATGACTACAGGTGTCCTGAAAGAATTTGGAGATTCAATGGGCTTGTTTCATGCTATGAAAAATGATACTGGTTTGCTTATAGACTGATCGAGTTAGGGGTATATTATACTTATCAAGCCAAATCGGTCCCAAAGTCTCTTAATATTTGCAGAAAGAAGAATAATTCGAAAAGCAAGAATTTAAAGTGGCCGCGTGTCTGTTGACCAATAAAATTGATCGTGTCTAGAGCGGAGTTGCCAAGTGTATTGGTTTTTAATATCCAATCACAGATCTGATGATCCAATTTGACAGACGCCATTTTTGTTGTAATTGTTGTCAACT